ATCGAAAGGAAGGATATAAGAAAGAAGGGAACAGACTCTTTAGCAGGGTCTGTGCTGATAGGACAATGGGAAATGGTTTCAAACTAAAAGAGGGGAGATTTAGATTGGATATAAGGAAAAAAATTTTTTACACCAAGAGTAGTGAAACACTAGAACAGATTGTCCAGAGAGGTGATGGATGTTGGATCCTTAGAGACATTCAAAGCCAGGTTGGGCTGGGTTCTGAGCAACCTGACCTAGCTGTAGATGTCCCTGTTCACTGCAGAAGAGTTGTACTAGATGATTCTTAATGTTCCTTCCAATTATAGGGATTCTATGATTCTTTGGTAAGAACTCACTGAGAACAAGACTTGTGGGTTCTAGTGGACAAAAAGCTGGACATGAGCCAGCAGCACGCACTTGCAGCCTGGAAGGCCAACTGCATCCTGGGCTGCAGCAAAAGAGGGGTGGCCAGCAGGAATAGGGAGGTTGTTGTCCCACTCTGCCGTCATGAGGCCCCATTTGGAATACTGCATGCAGACCTGGGGCCCCCAGCACAAGAAAGATGTGGAGCTGTTGGAGCAGGCCCAGAAAATCGGAGGGCTGGAGCACCTCTTCTAAGATAATAGGCTGAAGCAGCAGGAGTTTGTTCAGAATGAAGAGAAGGCTGTGGGGAGATCTCATTGTGGCCTTCCAGTACTTGAAGGGGATTTAGAAGAAAGCTGTGGAGAGACACTCTGTCACAGTGTGTAATGACAGGTGTAACAGCTTTAAGCTAAAAGAGGAGAGATTTAGGTTAGAGGTTAGGAAGAAATTGGAACTGGATGAGCCTTAAGGTCTCTTCCCACCCGAGCCATTCTGTAATTCCATAATTCTACGATAAACCAAACAGAATGACTATAGCATACAGTTTCATAACACTCCTTGCTACTGAATGTATCATAGCCAACAGTATCCAGATGCAGCATTTCACAAGCACATTTTCTGTACGTGCAATGGAGAAATATCTGTATCGCAATTTCTTTCTGAAATAGAGCACTATTTCAAATTGAAAGATCAGTTTCCAACATGTGGGATAGAACAGCATTTGTATTATGCTGTACAGGTAATGAATTGAGATGATCGATGCACACTTTAGCCTAGAGAGTTTGATTTACAGTGTTAGCCAAGCCTGTACTTCTCTTAAAGCAATTCCAATACAGATCAGTTCTCCTGATGAACTATCCTGTAATAATTTACACACACCTGAGAGCCATAAGCACAGAGATATGCAAGACATCAGTAAGCCTGGTGGTCAACAATTATAGGAAACTTTAATACAAGCATGTAGATGATGACTGTAAGGGCACAGTGTAGATGATCCCATCTTACAGCATTTTATTTTTCTTCAGAAATACAAAATAAGTGCAGGAAGTTTGTCTGGCAGAGGTTACAATGATTACAAATAATCATCTATTAATGAATGTAGCTAATAGTGATTGCCAATAGTAGGACAGCAATATGAAGAAAAAAGGGATCATCTGTCATCACAACTTGCTCATCTTGTCTCACGGGTCTCTCAGCTGTGGGCAGGAAATTCAGTTATTGTTGTTCTGTTTTACTTTTTTAATCTTTGTTGGATCAGAACTGCACTGTCTCCTCTTTGCCTGAAGTTATTAATACATATTATTATGAAGAATGCCACTGCATTATGTCTATATTTTAGCAAAAAGTTATTCACTGTAAAACCTATCTAGTGGTCAAATCTACATGAACTTCTGTAGTGTAGTAATCATGATATAAGTTTATAATCTACATAAATTTATCAGCTATGATTATTATCTTTCATTCACAAAACTGAACCGTAGGTTAGAGCTTCCACCATTCCAAAGGGGATGCTTAAATGAGACAATTGAAAGCCTCCATACAAACATATATTGAGCTTGTGCCTCAATAGAATCTTTCTGAAGTAAAGCAATTTTGCCATCATCTGCCAATCTCTTGAATTGAAAATAATCTGCAAAAAAAAGCACCAGTTTTAATTACACTTCATGCATTTCATCTAGACAGATTAACACATGCAGTTAGGGTCTATTGCAAAATGTTATTCTTCCCGATTCTTCCCAACTCATTTAGCTGGGATTGCAAGATTCTCGTTTCAAGTCAGTCCAGATATAGGACATTTTCAACAGCCTGATACTTGCTATGGTTTCCCAGGTCATAACCTGTTCCATGATTGTTCCCTAATGTGACCTTCAATCTTAGCTGTTAGCAAACACTAGGTGAGATGACGCTAAGAAAAAGCAGCATGGAAGGCAGAACAGGGTGGAGGACCCATGGACAGACTCCATAATCTTTGCAGGGATGGGGACACAGTGATACTATTGGAACTGATAAGCTGCATTGTTGTAGTGAGCCAGCCATGAACCAGCAGTTTTCCACCTTTCTGTTTGACTAAAGTCACTCAAGCTCCATCTTAAAGTAAGAAAATAGTATACAAATGCCTAAGAGAAGAGAAATGGAAGGGAAGATACCACTGCTGACTTCCAAGATCAGTCAATGGGCTGAGCTTCCCTTCCTCCCCATAGGGACACCTATTGGATAACACTTGCAAACAGAGTTGTGCAGAGTGCTGCCCATGGGAAACTTAGGAATATGTTGTACAGAGTCATTCCCTAATTTAATGCATTTGCAGTTGGAATCATTATTCTTATTTTCAGTCAACCTCACGTGCTTTGCACACAGCTCACTTACCAACAGCAATCCAAAATAACCTGTACTCCTGTTCCTTTAATAAGCTGCACTGTTCACTAATCCAGCCATGAGAGTTCTCATTGAATGCTGACAAATTCCTTAAGGGTAATTGTGAGAGCCCATTTGAACATGACTAGATGAATTGGTCAGTGCGCTACTTGTGAATCCATAATTGTGATAATGCTCTACTGAACGTGATCAGACTTAGAGTGTTGAATTGGACGTCATCCAGAATCTAAGCCTAGCCACCCCTACACTCTGATATCGGAGTACAAGCTGGAATACAAATGGGGTTATTTTCTGCCAGACTTCTCAGTGACTAGTACTGGAAGCCTTCAGTGGACAGGTTCAGTGCAGGTCTGAGAGAAACTTTTGCAATTTGGCTAACTACAGTTTCCATATCTTATTTTGTCCAATAGAGTTCACCATATAAAATCAAATTAAAAGTCCGCTGTGTTTGTACTTGACCTTTCCCATCTGTCAGTTTATTCCAGAATACTGTTTTCATGCACAAAAGCATACAGAATCACAGAATGGCCTGGGTTGAAGAAGACCACAATCATCTAGTTTTTACTTTCCTGCTCGCCAACCACCAGACCAGGCTGCCCACAGCCACATCCAGCCTGACCCTGAATGTCTCCAGTCTTTCTGGGCAACCTATTCCAGCGCATCACCACCCTCTGTGTGAAAAACTTCCTCCTAATATCAACCTAAACCCCTCATTTCTCAGTTTAAAACCACTCCCCCTTGTCCTGTCATTATCTACCCTTGTAAACAGTTGTTCTTCCTCCTGTTTATACGCCTCCTGTAAGTAATGGAAGGCCACAATGGAGATCTCCCCAGAATCTTCTCTTCTCCAAGCTGAACAAGCTCAGTTCCATCTGTCTTAATTTCAACTGGGATGGAATTGTTTACTTCAAAGTGTTTGGTATGATGCTATGTTTTGTTTCTAGGAGAAAAACAATGTTGATAACACACCAATGATTACAGTAGCCTGCTAACCAGTGTTGCATAGAGCCAAGGCCACTCTCAGCAAAGAGTCCAAGGAGCTGGGAAGGAACAGAATCAGGACAGCTGTCTTAAACTTGCCATATGATATACTATATAACATCAAGTGGAAGGAGTTCTGAAGGGGGTGTCAGTTCATCTTGTTCTCTTCTGCTGACAGTGGGGCTAGCTGAGAATCAGTCAGGGAATAGTGAGCAATTACTTATGCATCACTTATTATAATATATATACATACACATATACATTTGTCATAATTATTATCTTTTTCTCTATCTTAATAAATCGTTTTATCTCAACCCACAGATTCTACTTCATCTTTTTCTATTCTCTCCCCATCCTGCTAGGAAGCAGACGAGTGAGTGAGAAGCCCAGCGACTTGCTGGATTAAATCACAACAAGGTCCTTTGTTTTGTTCGTTTGTTTGTTTGTTTTCCTTAAGTTAATTTCCTGATAATAACAAAACTATAATAAATTTCCCAAAGTACATCTTTCCTCCATATATGTCTTATGGCTGCCTTCACTCTGCACAGAAATATGTCTTAAGCTACAATTACAAATTCATGTGGATAAAACAGAATGATTTATAACAATATATTAAATATTACATAGGAAAAGAGAAGAGAAATTGTATACTTATATTCACAGCGCAGCTTTCAATGTTGCATATTCTTTATTCCTCCCAGAAGAGTGTTACTCTTACCTGCACTAAGCTCTAACTTCTGGTTTGTCAAAAGACTTCTGTGAAAGTAGAGAATGGGATCCTGTCCCTTTTGTATGCATGCAGGAGCAGATCTTTAATTGCACATTGTGAGCTTGATCCTATGCTCACTTTTCTTTGGGTGCAAGGACAAAAGGAAGCTGTTCTGCTTCAGCACCTCTGGAAACTACAAAAGGATTTCTTTAACTTACAGATCTGATGTCACATTTCTATGGGCTTAAAGGCAAGAGGACGCTGAATGTAATGACTCCATAGCACTCTATGGAGAAGGCCCTGAAACAAATATGATGCAGCTGACATAAAATGAAGATTGAATGCTGGCAAGAATGTTCTATGGTTCACAGCTTAGGTAACTTTTGCTGCAAAAAAATCCTCTACAGAAAAGGAACTGATAAAAAAGAACTTCCTGAGAAACACCTTGTGCTTTAAAGTGGTCATTATTGTCTGAGTCAAAGATTTAGGTAAATCTTCAACATTATGCTTATTTGTTCTATTTCAATATGAGTAAATATATTCACCAGTAGTTCCGTCTCACTGACTCTGGCTGTGTGACTTGACTTACGCGCTTATGAAGACGTTCTGCTTCCTCCTGATATGCAGCAAGCTGTTGTTTCCATTGTTTTACATTGGCAGTGGACTCCAGCAGGGCTGCTGTGAGCTTAGCATTATTACCCTTGAGCGTGGCCAGTTCTGCCTCCCAGTGCTTGCTGATTGTCGAACTGCAAGAACAGAATGAGAATCCTCAGACACCTCTATGACTAAATGTTCAAATGAGAATGCAAGTGCTCAAATATCCAAGCTTTAAATGCAGAAAATAGTCATCAACAGAATTCTTAATATAAATATGTAATTACTGAAAAACAACCTCTAATCTCCCAGCTCAACAGTTATTTTGTTTTAATAAAATGTTAAGGATGATGAAATACACATCAAGTTCCCAAATGCAACACCTCGCAATTTTACCATATGCATATGATTAGTCGTCATTTTAACATATATGTATTAAGTGCTTTTTCAACCTATTCCTTAATGAAAGATATTGTAGAAAGAGATCTGTTACAAAAGAAATAATGTAGTGCTTTGGAACTACAGCTTAGTAGCCCTAATGCAAGCCTTCTGTGACTGACATATACTTTATACTTCCTTTTTTAAAATTAATTTATAATTAAAGTTCGAAGATCTTATATTTCAACATCATAATAGTGTTAATTATTCTTCAGTAATATTGGCAAAGAAGCTAAAGATCAAGAACCACAGAGATTTTTTCCATTACTGCAAATTGGATTCTGGTGGTGGGGTTTATTGAGCAGTTTATGGAGGAACAATTCTTGCCTATAGTTTAGTTATTATCTGAGCAAATATAGGTCTTTAGTTTTCAAAGATAGTTAGTCATCCATCATCTGTAGACTCCATCCTTATACTGAGTATGCAAAGGAAAAAAAAATGTCAGACCTATCAGGTGAATGTATTAGTATTCAAACAGGTCATCATTGTTTACTTTTATAAAGACAGCAGCATATGAGGTGCACACCTACATGGAACATACAGAGAGAAAATAATTCCTTTTGTCTAATCAGGTTACTGTTAAAAGCACCATTGAAAACCAATGATTTGTAACTTCGGTCAAAATGACTTTGCATTTAAGGTGAATTATGAGTAATTATTATAATCTATTTCTCATTATTATAATGCAATATGTTTAATTATATTTTGCATTTAAATTTATAGGTTTATCTGAACTTTGCATATAGAAGCAATGAAACATTCTGCCACCATTTTACCCACTAGGTTCCTTTTTTTGCAATTGCATATGCATAGCCTGTCCCACAAAAGCATGTTTCAGAAACATGATAATTCTTAGAGAACTTCCTGAGGTATTCAAAGCCAGCCAGTCATCAAGTAATATTCCTTATCCATTCAGATCACATTTACTGTTTCACTAACATGGGATGTCTGATTCTTCCATGCTCCAGCATTTTCTTCCAAGTATACTGTGACATCCCCGTGAGCAGGAATACAAGTTCTTTCAGAAGATGAACGTGGGTTCTTTCAAATTGTTCTAGCATTGCATGAACTATTCAACTAATTAGAAGTTTGCCACCAAAAATTTTAAATTTTAAATGACTAAACTAATAATCCCATTTCATCAGGGAACACTGACTCACATATTAAAGAAGATGAGAACAAATTTTTGAAGCAATGTCTATGCTTCTGTTTCTCTTATCAAATTTTCATCTACAATAGCACATCATATCAACAAATTCTGTGAAAATTCTAGTTCATCATCACATTCCCATTTCTTTCTGGATGCTCTGATCTTGCAAACAAATGACCACACCAACAGGTTCATGCAATTGGCTATATTCAATAGCTCCAATACAGCAGGACAAGTAGCAAACTGTGTGTGACACCATTCCTGCTTACAAAATGTATCATAATACTCATCTTTCCTCAAGAAGAATTACACACACACACAAGACTATATTCAGTTAACACAGCGGATTATAAGCTATGTGTCTTATTATTATTATTACAGAGGTGAACCGTTTGACCACTTCATATCACAACTGAAGACACTAAAAGGGAGATGAAGGGTTTAGCTTGCACTGTGTATACTCACAATGATACAGGTAAGCTTTTATAAGCTCAGAAGATCTCAGAAGACAGAGTCCAAATTAATGCTGAGTAACCATGTGAGTGGGTTTCATAGTGTCTCACTTTCACCTTTGCTCAGTACCCTAACTATCCTGACAAGAATCCTGCTCATATCTTTTACAGATAGTGCTACTGCTCCATAAAATAGAAGTATATTACTTAAATCAGTCTGTTGTGTACTGTCACATATAAAACTAATTTTTCAATTACTTAGGATTATCCTGTTTCTTCTCATAAAAGTCTGCATTCTCCCACATAAATACAATGTGATGGATATCAATATGAGAAAACAAAGAATCAAAGGCATGGATTATTTTTTTGTATTAACATACTTCTTAAAATCGTAATCTGATTAAAATAGCCTGCAACCCATTGTAGGAGTGCTGATTTAGCTTTTTCAAACAACATATTGAGAAAAAAAGAAGTATGCTTTGTGGATTATTTTTATTAAAGTAAACTGGACTTATTTAGATTTAAATTAATTATTTTAGGAACTGATAAAATGTACAACAGGCTGCTCTCAAACCATACTAAAATTACCTGTATTAAGGTCTATACCTACAGGGCTACACTGGTTCAAATTTATCTACAGCTCCAGAGTAAAGAAGGAGAAAGACAAACTTTAAGCTCAACAGCAATTCTCCCTTAGGATAGAAAACTCTGGGGCTGAGACCTGGGGTGGGAAACATACAGGTCAGAAGCTGAAAGCACACACACAGGTAATCCAAAATCATAACCAAGCCTATGGCTAGCACTGCAGTCCCTCAGGATACGTATAAGAGGGCTACACATACTCTTTAAAGCCTTTTATTTAACTACTGATTGAAATGCTTTTTAGTAAAAGGAATTGATTTTGCCCTCAGTGTATTAGAGTGCATCATAGGAAATACCAGCAAAGCTCTGTCTTAGTGTAGTCTTCATGGCTGCAAACATCTGAAACAAACACGAATATATTTGCTCATCTGAAATGGGAACATGCATTCAGTGGTGAAAGTGATCCAAACAGCAATGCAGCTACTGACAGAACACATTGAAAAGTATTCTGCGCCGCAGCTCAAAGAGCAGAGCAGTCTGTGTACACAGGATGACATGAGCACAAACATATTTGCAGCTTAAGGATTTGACATGCCTAACTATGCTTTTTTGCTGTGTTCTGAAAGCCATGCACCCTTTTACTGGCACTACCACGATTTTAATACACATTTCTTCAGTCCTGTCACAGTTAACAACACTGGATTCATGGCACACTTAAAGTTTTAAGATGGTTTTTCAAAAAAAGAAACACCCTTCACACTTTGGCTTGTTGCCCCTTTCTCATCATGAAAAGTTCTACTGAACGCTTGCAAGTATTGTAGCAGAAGATGAAGCCTAGTAATTTCCTTTGTGAAAATTCTGAGTGTCTGAACACAAGATAGCTGTTTTACAAACAGCTGCATCAGTACTTCTGCAGCAGCAGAGTATAAACCAATTACAAGAGAGAAAATGGGCCTGTAATGGCTAACAGTAAAACAGGAGTATTATTGCTTTCACTGACCACAATGTACAAAAATTGTTTCCATAAGAAAGGCTTAGATCATACTGATTGTAAGTAGAATTATCTTCACAGTGTCGACAGTTCATGGGATTGTGAGCATTTCATAGTAAGTAAACATTCCCAGGACCTCTGATCCTTGGTGTTGGCCACCGAATCTCTTACGTGGGTAATATCTGAGACCTCCACAGCCAGAACTGTGCCTGGTGTCCACCTTCAAGGCTAAGGCTTCAACATCAGATATTTAACTTCTGTAGCACGCAGTACTTTTATCCCTGCTTTAACATGCTCCTACAGCAAAGCACTGTCTAGTATCCTATAGCATAACTGAGACATCCCTGAAAATTAAAGTAGGGTTCAATGATTTGCATACCTTTAGGCATTCTGACCAATTAATACTGAGCTGATCTCTGTTCTCACTGGGTATTGGTTACAACTCCAGTAAGTCACTGAGGAATAGCTTTGCTATCTGTCCATCTGTGACCTGAATAGAATGCCAGAGGCTATAAATGAGAATCTTTCTCTGTGAAGTAGGTCGCTTACAGAAAATTAATCCTAAAATCTCCAGTCACCATGTTTAGACAGTTGGAGAAGACTTGCACGGGCAGGGGCAGGGAGCACACATTAATGAGCTGCATTCAGAATGAAGTTATTTCAAGACATGCCTTCAAGAAACAAAGAAACAAAAGCAGTCCAAATCAAGAGATGTTTTCTGAGATATTGCTTATTCATTACCTGCTGCACTGTAGGCAATATCAGCTCTGTAAAACACGATTTAAGCTTTACTTTAGATTTACAGAAGGGTGTGCAGAATTATGCTTTATTACTATTCTATGGCTTTATTACTAGACATGTTGCTTTAAACTTAACTAATTAGAAATTGGTTTTCCTACTCTACTGTAGTCACAGTTGCAAACCATTGGTCAGGGGCACGTACATTCTTTTGGTATCACTGATCTGCACGATAGAGATATGACGAGAGTCACTGTCTTGGGATGACAGAAATGGGAAATTTGGTTGAATGGAGACTGGAGTACTTTCACTACAACATTTGGCATCTGGTAATAGTAACTAGCTCCACAAGACTTGATACACATGAATGAAGCAGAGTCTCTGCAGCTGCTGTTCAGATTATAAATAGTGGCTGGCAGCAGACCAAGAGCCTGGTGGAATGGGCACTACCAGTCAGCAGGAGAGGAACATCAGCTGGCTGCTAGCAACGTGTTAGCCATGCTGAAAGTAAGGAGCAATCCTTTCTGACAGCTGTGCTGGTGAACTGTACAGAGCAGCTCATCAAGCTCAGGGAAGCAAAGGGGACTTGTAATGATTTTGCTCTCTTACAACAGTATCAGATAGCTCTAGTGAAATCAGTCAGTGTTGCTTCTTCTTCCCTTCAGAAACACATGGTAAGGGTTTGAATTTACATAAAATTCTTGGGTGAATCTTGTAAGGAATTCTGCCCAAGATCCTTATGAAATGTGTCATGTGAAATAAAGTCCTGCAAATGTTCTTCCACAGTGCTGTGAGAACAGT